TCTCGATTTTTGTTGAGGCAACCTTTTGCGGGATACGTAAAACCATTCTTGATGGACTCAATTGTTTGATTATGTTTCCACGTTAGCCATTGTGTGCAAATATCTTGGTCTTGAACTTGTGCCATCGAATGTACTTATGTGCAATAATTACTATAGACACTTAAATCAATTTATTAACAATAAACATAATTTGTTTGTGATAATCAAAACGAGAAGTCAACCATATGTCAACAATTAATATAATAAAATATTCTACATTTAAACCTAAAATTTTTCCTACATTTTAACTATATATTCTTCAAAAATTCACTATCCAAAACATCATTTTCCCTCAATTTCTTTTTAAAATGTCGTGTACCGTGTATCAAATAAAAATTATGATGACAATATAACTACCCTATATAATTTGGAATTGTTTGTTAAGTATATCTGAAAAGTGTTTATAAATTATTTAAAATATAAATAGGTAGAAATGAAATATGGATAATGCAATAGTAGTTGAAAATAAAAATAGGAGAATTTACAAAAATGGCTAATTTCATGCTTGTCAATTAAAAAGTGTCTAATTTTGATAACTCTTGCAAAAATGGTCAAATTTAGTATTAAATTATCTATTTTACCTTTGAAAAATGAAGCAAATTTTTTTCTCAATTTGTCACGAATTTCGAGAAGAATAAATAGCTTCCATGAGAAGTTACATTAAAATGACGTTCTCGATATTTTAAAAGTTGTAATCGATAATTAAACTCTATTCTCCTTGATACTTCATTTATCTATAATGAGATTTCATATAAAAAATGAGAATTATCTACATTTCATAAAGTTCTTGACATTTGAAAGATAATTTTCGATATTTTATAACTGTGTCAACGAGAAATATAACATTTATTTTGATTTGATATATGTACTTTTGAAATAAGTAGAATAAATTATCTGTCAAAATTTTTTTAGCTAACAAAATATTTAATTGTATGCACATATTTGTTTTTAGTGTGGATTTATAAATTATTAATAAGGGTACTTTGATCTAAAATATTACAAAATGGACATTGAACAAATTTTGGACATTTTTACAAATGACAACGTGAAAGTGAATATTTTTTGTAATTTCCTCGTAAAGATATTTATAAGTCGTTTTATTAAAAAATGGTAATTAGCAGAAATGGTCACCAACGTTTACACTCTTTGCTAAAATGGTCCCTNTCCCTATCGTTTTAATATTTGCATTTGTACCCTTATTTCAAACGTTTCTTGAGGAATTGGTCCTTCCATCCATAAACCGTTAAACATCAGTTAGAACATTTTGGTAATTTGCAGAAATGGTTCATATGGAATATAATTTAATATAATTTTGGAACGGCCTTCTTCCACGAGTGGTAACTTTCGCTATAGTTGGCCGTTTCGCACGCCGTTAGGGATGGGAGAAACTAGGTTATGAGCATTTCGAAATTATATTAAAAACATAATATTTAGACTTCGTTTGACTTCCCGTAATAATCCCGCAAAATGGGAACAAAAAATAAGAAAAATCGTTTATATATTTTGAAACGGCCTGATTCGACAAGTGGTAACTTTCGCTACGGTTGGCCGTTTCGCACGCCGTTAGGGATGGAAGAAACTAGGTCATGAGCACTTCGAAAT